GTAACTTCCAGTGTACTAGCTACCCTATAAATTTGAGTGACAATGAAGTTATGTATGTATGTATGTTAGGTATGTATGTACGACTACATGTACATGTGGCTTTGTGCACGGTGAGAAAGCTTCATGCGGGAACATTTTTGAATTTTTGAATTCTTATCTTTGACACACAAGCAAGCATAGAATTCACTATAAAAGTCTGTGATTTTAAATGTGTGTTACGTTAAGGTTGTAATAGCTCAAATCAGCTAGGTTTGAGAATTTTTTCCTTAGGCATGAGATCAAAGTTTTCGGCCTAAGGGCGTGAGATGTATGCCCAAAGTGTGTGACTTGTCAGGTAATCCATGACTGTATGTTTCTATGTTCGTCAAATTGACTTGTGGATGTGCTTTTTTCACTCTAGACAGCCCTCCATCGATCTCATCAGTTGACAAAACTCCTGCAAACTTTAGACAGGGAGGTACCCTAGACCTTCACTGCCAAGCCACAGCCACGGGCAGCTCACTGATCACTTATGAATGGTTTGCAACAGATTTTGAGGGCAACAGTAAGGACATGTTGTTAAGTAGATATACACTCCAGTCAAATACTGGCAAACTTACAATCAGCAATCTCAACCATACTCAGGATGACGGCTACTTCTACTGTGTTGCAGCGAATGCTGCTGGAAAAGTGAGGTCCAAACGACTGGTGATTCAAGTGGCATGTGAGTGATCTAGTATTTTATTTGACTGTGCATGCATACAGTCATGTAAAGTATGTCATTTGTTTTTTCTAAGGCAGCATAATTTCTTACAGTCACATACTGTACAGGCAGCTAAAAGAATGAAATACCCATGGATGTTTTTCATGGAAGGCTTTGTTTAGTGAAATGTCTGGACGAGCAGCTGCTGTTAACTCTTCTTCTACTTTTTTTTTTAAAGCAAACATTTCGAATATCTTAAGAAATTTGAACTGACACATGTCCCAAATCATTTGATCAGAGGGTATGAATCCTGTTATTTCTCTCTGCCCTACAGGATGTCTATGGTAATACATGTACATGTACGTGTTCATGCAGAACTGAGGGTTGTGCTTTGCTTCTTACTTCTCAGATCTTGAAGCCTTTCCAAATGCTGGTGTATCTGTGAGTGCAAGTGCACTGCAAGGCGGCAAATTTAGTTATGATTATCCTGTTGTTAAAAGCTTCCCCAAGCCCACAATAACCTGGACAAAATCTGGTAGTGCACTTTCTGAGAGTCAACGTTTTAGTTTCTCTGCCACTGGAAACCTCTACATCGGAAATGTTGATGTGAACGACGCTGGTAACTACGAGTCTAAAGTAGAGAACACTGTGACTGGCCAATCATTTANGGTGAAATCTGAAGACTAAGGATCTCAGCATTAACTTTATCTTAATAGTAAATATTGTTTTCTTCCAGTCGAGTTTATCGACCTCTGTTGATAAATATAAGGATTTTTGTGTCAGTTCTTGTAAAAAAATTGTACTTTAGTAACTGATTGTGGTATATACATCGGTGAGTTTCTTCTGGTGAGCCAAAGTTGCAGAAAAAAGGTGCCCCCAATGGAGAAGGTGATTATTCTACACAGCTGGAAGACCTTTGGTAAAAAACGGGTGAAATTCTTGTTGCACATGTAGTCAACACTTCCTCCCATATGTGCGTGTATAGAACTGTCCCCTGTTGTCCTTGACTGTTGAATACAGACAGGTGTTGCAATATTTTGTAATCAATGTCACAGTTATGCTTTTAACCGTATCAATATAATTACCTTGTTCTTTAGAGAAGCCCACCTTCACAGTACAACCGACCATGGCGGACAAGTACCCTCAGGAATCAGTTGTGTTTAAATGTAATGCCACCGGTTCTCCAAAACCCCAAATTACTTGGTTCCATAACGGGCAAAAAGTTGCCCCATCAAATGTAGGACGAATTCAAGTTAACAGTAAAAACGAACTCAAATTCACAAGTCTTCAATCTGGAGATAAAGGGACTGTGCAATGTGTGGCAACAAATGATGGTGGCGAGGCAATATCTAAAGCTACATTAAACGTAAAAAGTAAGNGGTGAAATTCTTGTTGCACATGTAGTCAACACTTCCTCCCATATCTGCATGTATAGAACTGTTCCGTGTTGTCCTTGAATGTTGAATACAGACAGGTGTTCAGTATTTTGTAATCAATGTCACAGTTATGCTTTTAACTGTATCAATATAATTACCTTGTTCTTTAGAGAAGCCCACCTTCACAGTACAACCGACCATGGCGGACAAGTACCCTCAGGAATCAGTTGTGTTTAAATGTAATGCCACCGGTTCTCCAAAGCCCCAAATTACTTGGTTCCATAACGGGCAAAAAGTTGCCCCATCAAATGTAGGACGAATTCAAATTAATAGTAAAAACGAACTCAAATTCACAAGTCTTCAATCTGGAGATAAAGGGACTGTGCAATGTGTGGCAACAAATGATGGTGGCGAGGCAATATCTAAAGCTACATTAAACGTAAAAAGTAAGTATCAAGTATATGTTGTGGTTCAATAGGTAGCTGGAGGTTTCGCACGCAAGGGAGTTCGCACTCACCGAGTTCGCACCTGGCGAGTTCGTGCCCACATCGTCTCAACTTGAGATCAAGTGCTTATAATTTATCTTCCTCTTACCGAGCAAAAAAGACAGCATTGTGGGCATATTGAAACAAAATCACACAAAACATGTTTATTTCTCGTTCTTTAATCCATTGAGGGTGAAGGCAAACTCGAAATAGAAAGTTTATAATGAGTTCAGGGGTGCGAACTCGATTGGGTACGAAACAGGTAGCATTCGTTCAATATTGCCCACTGGGCGAGAACTGTAATTATTCGTAGTTACAATTAATCGTGCTATGCCATTCCAATATTCAGAACTGATATTTTTGCAACTTGTTCAGAAACTGGGGGCGCTTTCCATTCAACAAAAAATTCAGAAAAGTTCGAAACGGGGACAAATGGTATGGAAATTTCCGTGGAAAGTTTCCAGAAAATCCAGAAATTGCTGAATGCCCGAAAAGCGAACCATTCAACCAAAAATTGAATGGAAATTCCTGAAAATTTCCGTATACCTCATAAGGTTCCGGAAATTCTGGAAAATGCTTTTCCATTCGTCACCTAAAAAATGTCTGAAAATTCAAACTGAAATTTTTCTTCCAGTGGGAAACACCCTGAATTATGCTGATGAGGCAAATATTGTAAACAAAGATTCCTGTATTGTGAACTCCCATACTTGTCTGGCTTGGGCTTAATGAAACATAGTTGCGAGGAGGACCAACCAGAAACCAGACTTTCGTGATTAATATGTGTTATTGACAATGCTACTTTTGGTGGTTTGTAGCTTTACCAGTATGGATAGATGTGCCGCCAAAGAACACAGATGCGATCGTGAATGAAACTGTGGAGCTGCAGTGTCAAGGACGAGGGAGTCCTACGCCCACCATAACCTGGCAGAAGAATGATCAAAATATCAACTTCGCCAGTAACCCTCGCTTTTTCCAGAAGAACACTGGCTCATTGCAGATTAGTCGAAGTCAGAAAAGCGATAGTGGAAAGTACACGTGTGTAGCAACCAACAGCCTGGGCTCAAAACGAGCAAACGCCACGCTCAGAGTGTTAAGTAAGTTGTTCAAATATGACCACTCGCCCTTCTTTTAAAGTTACAGGTGTATTTTTGTAAGTGAAGCTACTTTTTAAAGCGGCAAGACGTTGTTTGTCTTTTTGCTGAATGCGCTATTTCGCTTTCTTGCGATTTTCGAAGGAGGCCAATTTTACAAGACCCTCGAACCAGTCCACACCATTCAAACCTGAAATAAATTTTTTTCAGGCCTTAATTGATCAATCAAGTCTCCAATTCACATCGTCTTGCACACGATTTGTCTCTCATGAAGGTGTTAAGTGAAAAACATTTTTTTTGTTTTCTCTGTGTTTGGTGCAGTTAAAACTGTGATCACCACACCACTGCCAAGCCAGATTCAAGCCACTAAAGGTCTGCCAAAAACCCTTCAATGTGCAGTGCAAAAAGACCCGGGTATAACAGTGAAATGGACCTGGACTAAAGATGGCTCTCCAGTCGACACGGCCCGGATGACGGTACAAGCTGATGGATCACTGCGTATAACCACAGTACAAGAGATAGATGCCGGGACGTATAAGTGCCGCGTGGAGTCTGTGGCGGGAAATGCTGCCACAAGTGGCACAATGAGTGTTCAAGGTAAACGCTCGCATTCATTACAATCTGTTGGTGAGGGGAGGCGGCCTGGCCCAGTGATCAGGGCGCTGGGCTTGAAATCCGGAGGTCGCGGGTTCAAGTTCCGCTCTGACCACTAAGCTGGAGTTGTTTCTCGGTAGATGCTAGTTCAGCTCCTCGGTCATGTACGGTCATGTTTGTAATTAAGCCTATTTTGTTTATTTAAGTGGCATGCTTGAGAACTAGCTAGTTGTAGCTAAGCGCATCGACCGCTACTGATAAACATTAACATGTCCCCGTTTGGTCGTCATCGAAACGTGTTTTTTTTTTTTTGGCTCCGTGCGCTGTCCGAATGACTGAGAACTTGGTGCGTCAAAATCTTTTGTATTATTATTTTAATAAGGGAGCTACTAAAAAAAGCCTTTGAGAGACGCGTAGGAGCATAAAAGCGGGGATGTTGCTAAGTTCTTATTAGCTGGCAGCAAACGAAATATACTTCTCTTTGTTTTTTTTTTCAAAGTTTAAGTTGCCAGTTATCACTCTTGTTACCAGTCACAATATCTCCAAATTTTGTGATGAATTTCCTTCAAGAATATCCCTGATGCTTTTAGCGAATGATTTGTTAATTAGCGCTGGAAAAAAGGAAAAAGTCTTATAAACATTTTTGTCTGATCAGAAACCCCCCTAGCCCCAAGCACTCCAGTAGTGAGTGACATACAAACCACTTCAGTCCGCCTGTCTTGGTTTCCACCCGGTTACGACGGAAACAGCCCCATCACATCCTACAACGTGTACACCAAGAAGGGCTCTAACAACTGGAACCTCCACAAAGATGACATCAATCCATCTGACAGACAGATGTCCGTCACCCTCCGCAATCTCTCTCCGCACACGCAATACCAGTTCCATGTACGTGCCGTCAATTCAGTTGGAGAAGGAACACCAAGTGGAGCATCAGGAGTGATTAGAACACTTATAGCAGGTAAGTGTTACTAACGACATACTCTCAGTATTCGTTGTAATTTATACCACCAAGAGGTTTGGCTCTCACCGGGCGAGTACAGTGATTAGTTATTTCCAGTTTACGCGACCGGGGCACACAAAGCAATGTCATCTCGTGGATGAAATGCGAGTTAAACTGGTTTGCGAAACGAATTTCGTCCGTTACGTTGTCATAATTGTGCTTTTAGCACGTGGTTTATTAACTCAGGCGTTTAGCATGACGTCCTTTATATGTACATCTAGCTGTTGTGGTCCAATATTACCCTTGGTACAGTTTTGTATTTTCCGCTATTTCAAATACAACACACCAGGACAAAGGATAATACCTATTATTATCACCCAACTAGTGGACTAATGCAAATCCTGCATTTCAATTGACTACGCTACTAGAGGACTATTAGTAATAGTTCACGAGTAGCGAAATTGGCGCAATGGAGCATGACGCTTTTTTATTCCCAAATAAACATTTGTTCAACTTGCATTTGCTAACTTTATTATTGCCTTTTCTGTCCGACTAGTTGGGTGATACTAAAACAATTAGACTCTTCGCCCTCAAGGGCCACAGGTAAATAGCCCATTCGGTTTCGCCTCGTGGGCTATTGACCCGTAGCCCTTGCGGGCTACGGGTCTAAGATCTTTCTTGAAGCCATTTTTTGTCATTCGAGAAAGTTTACGCACAAAATTTTCGTCATCATTCTACGTGATATCGTTGGCTTAGAAAATTTCTTACTGTCTTTCAGCCAATCTTAATCCAGACTTGTGATGTGTAATTTGCACTGATGTTACACTTTTTGCACTGGTGTCACACTTTTTGCTCTGGTATTACACTTGAACTGCGCTGCTCTCAGCCAATAAGAATCGAGTAATTTTTCCATGTATATTACTAGGTCTTTTATACACTTGTACCAATCTTAAGTAAGACTTAACCACAACACACATGAAGCCATTATAATAATAAGGTGGCTAAGCTTTTGGGAGGTTTGAACTCTCGTTTTGCGAGTATACTTTGTGACAATATTTCTTTTGATTTTCAGCGCCTTCCGCTGCTCCACTAAATGTAAACGGAGTGCCAACTAGTGCTGATTCTATACTTGTACAGTGGCAGGTGCGTATGTTTGGGTTTGTTTAATTCAACAAATATTAATTTGGATAACATCAAATATCAGGGACTTAAACGGCGAATCGTGTACGACCATAAGTCGTAGTCCTGTAATGTGAGCCTGAATGAAGCGGCAAGTAGTTGGTATTGGTAAATAGGCCACTGTCGATATATATGGAAACTCTAACTTGGCTCCGAGGCTTAGGGGAATTAGACAAAAGAAATCACCTCGAGGATGAGGGAGGAATATTTAATTTATTTTGTTTTATTCCATTAAGCCTCGGAGCCAAGTTAGAATTTTGATATATCGAAATTGGCCTATTCCCTGATGGGATACTGGTCTATAGTACTATCGAGTATACAGCGGCTTTCCCGTATTCGACCCTGTATTCTGATTGGCTACATCTTATGACACGGTATAAAACGCAATAACGCTGACCAGCGCTTGAATCCACACTCCTTTCTGCGGAGTCCAACGTACCTGTGCATGTGTGTTGTAAAGAAGCGAACAATTGTGCGCAGTATCTTTTGATGTTTTAAATTGGCTAGTTTTATTTATTATTTTTTTAAAACTATTTTCAGCTTCCACCTCCAGAAACCCATAACGGTCCTCTGCGGGGCTTTAAAATAGCTTATCGTCTGGCCGGTGTATCTGCCAGTACCTTTATTATCAAGAAGATTGAAAATCCAGCTGCCACTCAGGGAAATATCGACGGCCTCGTACAGTGGACTGCGTACGAGATTAAAGTGCTTGCGTACAATGACGCAGGAGACGGGACGTACAGTAACCCAATCACTGTTACCACATCGGAGGGGGGTAAGTGATGACGTCTAAACCTACACTGTACATGTACTTATTTGTCGTTTCTAAGCGATATCCAGACCGTGAAAATGACAAGCTGCCGTTTTTTTGTGTGTTACTAGTCAAACGAAACTTCGGAAATGACTCTCAAAATTTTGGGTATTTTTTTACGTTTTGAAAATGTACACGTTGTAAACAGTTATCAGCCAAAATGTCCCTGGAAGGCATCAAAAAGTAATATTTACCTTTGGAAACATCATAATAGTAAAATGCTCTATGTATGAAGTACTATTCCTGTTACTACTCTTTTTCTTTTGGCCAGAAGTACGAGATTCCCTGAAATTTTTCTGGAATAATCAGTTCCGCCACTCTAACCAGAATTATGTTAAAGAAGCTCAGTCACGGTTTGCGCATATTGAAAAGTTTAGCCTCAATTTTTCAAATTCGTCGTTTGTAATCCGTGTTAATCTTCTCCATCCTTAGNCTGGCGAAATGACACGCTTCCTAGCAGTGGACAGACGACAAGGCTCTCAAACACTACCCTCTCACACACTGTGACGGGATTACGGGCCAATACTGCTTACGGTGTTAAGGTATCCGCTGAGACTCGAGTGGGGCCTGGAACGAGTAAGAAACTAGTGGCAACGACTACGCAGTCTCCAGGTAAGATGGCCGTTTTGCTTTGGTTACACGAGAATCTTTATAATTGGTTTATCCAAGCACCACTGATTTGCATGAGGCACGTTAGTCTCAGTGCTGTTTCGCGTCCGCTGCTGCCTTGATCTCCACACCAGTAACAAACTTGATGCATTCAGTTGTAGGTGAAGTATTTCAACAATGGGCAAATCAAACGGTTTAAATGACAGCTCTAGTGCATGAGACTCCGAGTGGAGTGGTTTAGGCCGGCGTGACGATTGGTCGGCGTCATTGTGTCACTCACATTGCTTCACTCCACCCAGGAGTATTCTGACAAAATATGTGGGAGGGGGTAACCTGTGATGGACTACCATCTTATCCAGGAGGGAGTAGAAATTCTCTTCGTTGTGCGATTCAGAAACCAGAGTAAAGTCCTCAATGTCGCTCCTCACCAGTATCATCTCATGTTTTAATTTTGCAGAGAAGCCAGGCACGCCCCACAATCTAAGGGTCATAGAAGCAAGGGCCCGGTCCGTTTTGTTGGATTTCACTCCAGGTTCATCCGGCAGGGCTCCTATTCTGACCTACACAATACAATACAATAACGACTCGTTCTACCCTGTCTCGGCTCAGTGGAAAACACTGATGGTCGTCCAAGATGCTCATCTAGTGTGGAACTTGCTACCGTTGACACTTCCGAATCTTAAACCATACAGTGACTACAGATTTCGAGTCATTGCTAAGAACAAGGTGGGCAGCAGCAATCCCAGCAACGCCTCGGACACGGTCAGGACTTTAGAAACTGGTAAGAAAACGACAACTGAAGCCTGACTAAATGCTAGTGTACCTGTGCATGTGAACGAACAAACTAAAAAGTTTTATTTTTCAGTTTTATAATTATCCTCATGCCTGTACGTATGCTGAAGTAGAAGGGCCTTTATGCTATGCTTGGGTTTAAGCGTAGCCTCTACCGATTAAACCTTGGATGAATACCACATAATCAATGGTAAATTAAGTCAATGCTAAGTCGTTGCTTTTTAAAGTACAGCTCGAGCATTTTTTGTTGTGTTCTTGCCTTACATAGCTCCTTCTCGTCCTCCGAGTAATTTGACGTTGCTTCCACTTGGCAAAGACGGACTGGAATTGAGATGGAAGGTTAGTTAAATTGCATCAGTTGGAGTGAAACAAGCTATAATTTACATATTAAGTAACAGATTGGAAAAACTGAGGGAAAAAGAGCTTGCGCGTAACTTCTGTCGAGAGGAGAAATCTGTTCCATCTACCAAGACCGTTCCTTTTGTATCGCTACGAATGCGATTGCTGGAGGTTGGAGATTGTGGTGATTAGAGTTGCTCTAAGGGAGCTAAGTGTCTCACCGAAGCATTTTCCTATTTTCTGTAAGTGAACGAAAGTTTGTTAGAAGAATGTTGAAGTTTTGATGAGTTTTCAGTCTTTGCTCAGTAACTGGCATTTGTTTGCTTCACGCAGATTCCTCCCCGAGAAACGTGGAACAGTGATTATATTGGATTCTCCATGAAGTTTGAACCACAAGGAGAGCCAAGCCACACATTTTCAATACAGATTCCAAACAGTCAACTTAACACCTACAAAGCAGGAGGTCTATTGAAATACAAGCACTACAAGGTCTCGGTCAGAGCCTACAACTTGAATGGCAAAGGAGCTAGCAATGACAGCGCGGTGGCCTGGGCCTGGACACAAGAAGACGGTAAGAACCCGTATGCACGGTATCTTAATCTTGTTTAATGGGCTTTATTTCCTTACTCCAGGCGTTTTCTCCTGTGTGAATTCTTTTTGGAGTTGCATTTCTTCATTCGCTCAGAAAGCATTTGCGTAGCATTTGAAGTCCGATATAGGAGGCAGCGTGACCGAGTGGTCAGGGTGCCGGACGAAATCTGGAGATCGCGAGTTCAAGTCCCGCTCTGACCACTAAGCTAGAGTTATTTCTCGGTAGACCCTCAGCCATGCTTGTAAATAGCCAACTGGTCTGCTTCCTGCCAGTTGGGATTTTTAAACCTATTATGTTTATTTGGAATATGTGTTTCTTTCAGTTTAAGTGGCATGCCTGAGAACTAGCTAGTTGTAGCTAAGTGCATCGACCGCGATAAACATTCAACATTGAACATTTTTTAACATGACCCCGTTTGGTCGTCTTTCAGTGTTCTCCTTAATCCACACGTTTAATCCCTTTCAGAGACTTTTTCGAACTGCATTTCGTCTGCCACTTTACCCCATATACAAATCATTTCAATGTTATTTTTGTTTTTTATCCCAGCTCCATCTGCCGCTCCAAGGAACCTCGCCCCTCAAGTCACAGGCGCGACCTCCGTGACGCTTACATGGGGGTCTGTTCCAAGCGTTGGACGAAATGGTGAAATCCTTGGTTACAAGGTAAACTGGTCAATTCCTTACTTCTGCTGACTTGTTTGTAAGTAAATTCAAGCGCTCTGTGCCCAAGCACGCAGAAGGAATCTCCAGCAATAAATCTTTGAGTTCGAGTTTGGCATCGGCTTATAGTTAGGAGGGTCAAAGCTTTAAGGCAACTGTCAAAGTCGATAGAAACAGAGAGCGAGACGGTCGCATTGTTTTAACGTAAAATACTGCCTTTTCAAATTTAACTTCGCGCGGGGAAACGGTATTTGTACTTAAGAAACCGGTTTAGCAGGATGTACTGCTCTTGGTTATCCGAAGACTCGTGAAAATATACGATACAACACACTGAAATGTCTAATAAGATATATGGTTCGTGGGTTTGTTTACATGTACTAGGGAGTTTAAGAAAACCACGACGGTAGCGGCAATGGCAACGTCGCTAAACAAGAGATTTTATGAGCAGAACACTGGCTGTGCACGTACGTTATAAATCTTGGTACGTTTCTTTGTCGTCGTCTGCAAAACAACATCGTGAAATGACTAAATTCAGCGTTGTCTGAAGACCGTAAACCACGACGGCTAATTATCTAAATTTCTATTTCAAATTTATCGCCGTGTCCCAGTTTCGTTATAGTTTTGACAGTAATAAACCATATAAATTCATTTTTTAATCGACGTTGTCATCGACGTCACCGTCGTAACTTCTCAAACTCCCTTATGTTTCTTGCGCATAGCGCGTGCATAGTCGTACGTGTGTGTGTTTCAGGGGCCTTCCATCGAAATACAGTTGTAGATGTCTGAGCGGCTTATCAGATCTCGAGAGCACTTACAGTAAACTACTGGGTTATACTAACAGAGGTTATGTTCCTCTTAGATTTATTACCGGATCGTTGGGCGTCAGAACACGGAGAAGGAGAAGGAAGTCATTAACGGCCTCGTGTTCTCTACTGCTCTTGCGGGACTGGAGAGCTTCGTCACGTACGAGTTCCAGATCCTCGCCTACACTAGGATAGGGAATGGGCCGAGAAGCACAGCGGTCAGAGCAAGAACTCTACAGTCCAGTAAGTATTACAAGAACTGAAAATATTGTGACCCATGGGTTGTTTACCATGCACAGGAAGAAACTTCACGTTTTGTGCAAATGCCATTTCCACAAAGAAAAAATATTTGATGGTAAGTTCCATTCGAATTGACCATTTACTATTTACTCAAAATGACCCAATTTACCGAAAGACACTAGGGCGAGTTCGACCTGATCATAATTCCAAGATAATTGCAAATGGTAAGCACATTTTCCATTCGGATATTTAGGTTGGAAAGTTTGATCTACCTTTCGAGATGTTTAATTACTTCGAGAATTTTCCGGTCCGTCGAGCCAAAATTGTCTACTGAAGCATTTACATTCTGACTGAAATTTGCGGAATTGTTGGGTCAATGGTAAACAACCACGGACTAGCAAACTTCCTCTCTTTCCTCGACCCCTTCCCCAACCCCTGGTTGTCGCGGGTAAAAAAATATTCGTTCCCTAACCCGCTCGTGTTCTGTTTAGGCCCAGGTCCTCCTTCTCGCGTCCGTTTTACAAACGTTGGCAGGACGTCCGTGACGATAGCTTGGGACCCACCAGTCTACCCCCGTGGTGTGATAACCAGATATAGAGTGGCGTACCGTTTTAATTCAACGTCGTCTGGTTTTATATGGCAAAGCCTACTCGGCCGTAATGAACGGCAAAGAACTGCGGGGGCGCTGAATGCTCAGTCGTTTTATCGCTTCTTCGTGTGGGCCGGCACAAACACTAGCTGGAGCGACCTGCCCGCGGAAGCTGTTGTCTATACCGGAGGCTCAACAGGTAAGTAAAGGTTACACTACACTTTCGAAAGGGAGGACCTCCACTAAGCGATCTTTGAATCTTTGTACGCTACTTGCTTCAGACATATTTCTGTGTAGTAGTCACACACCCTTCCTTTTGCGAAAACTCATGCTAAAATTCAGGTTACTTAAGGTCATTCCACTGAAATAGAACCTGCACTGAGATTTTTGTCAAACTTTGCCTATTGATTGTTTATATTTTAGGAACTTAAATTTTGAAATAAAAATGAGGGG